GAGGATGAAATGAAAAGCTGAAAGCAGTAAGCAGGATTAGGTGACTCATGGGGTGATGAGACCTCTCATGGATTTCCATGTGCATGAGTTGAGTAGACATGCCTCAGGCCTATTCAAGGAGAGGAGCCAAAAACTAACCCCACTTTATAAAGCCTAGAATTTAAAAGGGTTGTTAAGTGTATGGAAAGGGGATAGAAAAATTCTACTCATAAACCCACCACAGTTGAGGGTATCCACATTTACATGGAAAGAGAACCCTAATCTAAGAAGTTAACAAATTGGTGTGGGAAATATGTGCGGCCTTGGTTGAGAATAACATGAAACTACTGTGCTAGGGCACTTGCACGATTCAGGACCCAAAATTAAATAGAAAATGCAAAAATACAAAATTACAAATTACATGAGGAAGCAAATCACTACGAGAGCCAGCAGATGAAGAAATACAAGAATTAGGGGCACCTGGCTGGCTCAGTCGGTGGAGCATGTGACTCTTGATCTCGAGGCTGTGGGTTTTACCCATGTTGATGTAGAGTATCCTTAAAAAGAAAATCCTAAAACGAAAAAAAGAAATATGAGAATTAGTACTTCAAGAACTGAAGAGTAGAACCATCTACAGGAATATCAAACAGGTACGCTGAAAATTGTTAAAGAAATAAAACCATATGAAGGAAAGAACAGTATGAAAAAAGAGTAGGTGAACTTGAAAAGGAGCTAAAAAAATTTCTAGAAATAAAAAGTATAGCCATTGAAAAAAAAAACCAAAACCAAAAACTCAGTGAGTTGGTTAAACAACAGATTAGGCACACAGAGAGATGGAATGGTTGAATGAGATGTTCCATTATACGCTTAATAGGAGATATTAGAGAGAAAAGGGAAGAAATAATATTCAAAGAGGAAATGGCTGAAGAATTTTCTAGAATTGAAAGTTACAAATCCATAGATATAAGAACCATAATGAATTCTAAGTGGGATAAAAAATACACTGCATATATATATATATATATATATATATAAACATCTCAACATCATTTTAATGCCTCAGAAGCTCTGTGTTTTTATATGTGTGTATATATATCTATATATGTCATTGATGTTCAGCAGTGTCATGAGAAAATATTAAAAGTAGAGAAAAAGAGATTATATACCAAGGAATGGCAATTACACCGACAGCTAACTTCATATCAACAATGAAACCCAAAGATAGTAGATTAATATATTAAAAGTCCTAAGAGAAAAAAACCACAAAAAGCATCAACATAAAAATGCATGCTTAATGAATCTTTCATGAATAAAAGTGAAAGAAAGTCATTTTCAGACAAATGAAAAAAGAATTTACTACCAACAAACATTAAAGGAGCTTTAAATAATTGTAACTTAGGAGGAAGAAAATTGATCCCGGAGGTAAGTGTGAGGAACAACAGACAAGGGAATGGTGTGCAAGGAGACTGTAAATACGTGGTTAAATCTAAACAAACTATACAATGTTTTATTTTATGGACTACAGTAACAGTTAAAAATTTGCATCATGAAAGTCAGGCCTCATACTAGAAGATCTCTGCGATGCATAATCTATACTAATAATAGTCATCATACAAACACATAAATGATTATGGGATAAATTCTGAAGCTGTTTCTAGAATAAGAAATATTCTCTTAACATCATTTCAATGCCTCAGAAGCTCTTTGTGTTCTTTAATCTGTGGTTGGCCCTCATGTCCGATAGACCAAAACCTCCAGAAGGCTTCAGAAGCCGGGGTTTTAAGATGTTACCCCATTACCACCATGGTTCCTCTTGCACCACATCATACGGTTTACTATATGCCAGGCACTGTGAGTGCTTTACACACATTAATGCATTTAATCTTCCTACAACCCTATCTACGAGGTAGGTAGGTTTGTTAGCTCCATTAACAAATTATTTTCAAGCAGCAATCGAGGTGTGAGGAGAGTAAGTAACTGGCCCAAGGAAACAAAAGTAGTACATAGTAAACCCCAACCCAGGCAGTCTGGCTCCAAAGCACGACTGGTAAACCTAAAGGATTAACGGCTGTGTGGCCATCTGGGTGAACTGATCTTGTATTTGCTCCTGTGAAAGACCACCCTGGTCTTTCTCTCACCCTATCTTCTGTTATTCACCCTATCTTCTCACCCTATCTTCTGTTAATCAGTTATCTACCTTCTTCCATTAATCACCCATAATATTCTCCCCTACATTCTCACAATCTCCTCTCTCTTTTCCTTAAGCATAGGAGATGTGGGCAAGGGGGAAATGGCCAAACTAATGGTTTTGGGGAGGAACACATAAGATCTGAAGCTAGCCAATGAAATGCCATACTTAGTTTGTTTCCAGTGGTCTCCATGGCATTTTAACATTCATTTGGCAGAATATCTGTGACCATCCAGACACTGGATATACATTGTTTCATACTGAAAATAATGTGAAAGAAGTTGGTTTTATTTGGTGTCAATATTAACACATAGCTTTTGAAGCTGTATGTATTGGCAGTTTTCCTAAGCACTAGTTTAAGAGTGTAGTGAAAAGAATAGTTTGCTTTTATAATGTATTTTAAACTAATGGTTTTAAGTAATTGCCAAATGTTAAAAAATTGAGCTGAAGCCTGACTGATTGTATAACTTTAATATTTGAAAAATTTTCTTCCAGAAATGAACAACTTAATACAATACAGATTTGTACAAAAAAGACAGACCATTAAAAACTTTTGATCATACAGACAAAAATATGATTAAGCAAAGATTTAAAAAGGACAGGACATTTTGTAAATACTGATAAATACTGTGCAATGCTTTAATTTACTGTGGCGGATATAAAAATCAAGAATTCCTTAACAGATTATATTTAAAAAAGCAACTACATGAATTTTCTAGCTATTTAAATTAATGAAATAGAACAGTAGTGATTTTTTTTAAAAAATGAGGTATTATTACACTGTAAACCAAAAACAGAACATAAATAAATAAAGGCAATGTGTAAGTAAGTGATAAATGGTTACAAATTTCAACTTATTAACAACAGACAATAATAGTTTTCCAGTTATTTATGGACTTTGTCATTTAAAAATTTGGCTTGCTTGTGTACTTATTTAAAAGTGACATAGCTATCGATATACAAGCACATCATTAAACATGCAGACCAAGCCAGCACAATTTTCCCGTCTCTACCAAATAAAAACTGTTTACATTTTATTTAAAACACTTAAGTCTGATTTCTTATACATGATTCTTTTTTGCTTACTAGTAAGCAGTAACCTACATTAAACATCTTACGTTCTATTTCAAGCAGAGTAACCGAGAAGCAGTTTTATTTGCATATGGATAAAAAACAGAGCAAACGAAACAAAACCAACATGCCTTGAACTTTCTTAGGATTTTCCAAGGTTTTTAAGAAGAAAAATCCTTGACATAGTATACCCTATGGAAAAGCAGAGTCACTTCCGTCTTAAAGAGAATAGTAAACAAAGTAATTAACTCCTTTTCCTTGAAGATTGGCGAATTGGCTTTCGAACTACAGGAGAATGAGTTAATTCGTTCCTCCACCCTAAAAGAATTCTGCTGGTTGGGTGCAGGAAGCAGAGCAATAAGAAAACAGTGTAACTGAGAAAAAATTGGGGGACAGTATTATTTGCCTGTGAACCATATGCTGGTACTAAATGCTGGCTTCATTATTATTGCAAATACATCTTCAGAGTTTTCTGAAGGAAAGCTATTCAAAGTATAATAAAGAAGTCTTGATTTGAAAATATTTGTAACATGCTAATAAAACTGCTTCATTTGCTGTAAATAAAAAGAAAACCATTTACTGTCTCACTTAAAATGTAGTTTCTTTTTACATGCTGCTTTTTTAAGAAACTCCAAAAAGGGAACTTTTGAATTTACTACATTCAGAATCCAGTGAAATACAAACATTTTGGCCAAAATGTTGAACTTTATTTTTACACCAAGCTATATCATTTTGACACAGATGTTATTATTGTATTCACTTTTGTCAAATATCTTATCCTAGCCTTTAGCAAAAATTAGTGTTTCAGTACAACTGGTGATCAAAAATACTAGAAATAAGCCTTGTATGTCAAAGTATGTATAAAAACAGTTCTTTTCTTTTGTGCTTGTAATTGACTTAATTTATCAACAATTAGTTAGATCTGATTTCCTTTCTAATATTCTGACCCTTAAGAAGAAATGATCATTATACAAATATTACAGAATACTCTAACTAGTTTACTGCCAACATGCATGCAGACTAACGTTACTTAAAAGAACATAACCTCGAACCCAATGGTCTGAAAATAGTTAACACTCCTGTACAGTCATCTTTATTGATTTGTAAAAGCTGTATACACATCTAAAACCCTGAATTTACTTTGTAAAAATAAATCTTTTAGCAATAAATGGCACTATCAAAATCCCATTATTCTCAGGCTAGTATGTAGTTATTTACATGCTTTTCAGCAACAGTTGAAAAGAATCTTATAGGACCAAAGCCAGTATATCAAAAAACCCTGTAAACTGCATTTATACTGCTGTTTGTTGTTGCCCTCAGGTGTATGAAAATATGGCTACATGCCTTACATGAATGAGAATGTAGCTATGTGCGTTGCTACGTGTGCTGGCAGCACGCAACCTGCCACTGGGCTCCGCGACGGGGTCAACGCGTGCTTCACTGTGCTTTGCTTTCCCAGTGGAACACCTGTGAGAAGCTACTTACAGAGAATCATAAAGTGCTATAAAAAAGAGGGGCCGGACCCACACCTGTCTCTGCTGTCTGGTCTCTTCCTTACTCGAGCGATTTCTGTGTTTTTAGAAAATCGTGCCTCCCCCATTGAACATACTTCATACTCGATTTAAAAAAAAAAAATCAGTATTTTAAAGTTGGTGAGCTTTGTCAAGGTGTTTGTCAAGGTGAGACAGAGACATGAAAAGGTTAAAGGCACAATAAGAGGGAAGTGAATGCTACATATAAAATATATTTCAAGTCTTCTAGGTTACTCAAGTCCAAAACCTTCTGAATTTGAAATTCCAATGATCAATTTCTGCTTCAGGTCCTTTTTGCTCTTGTAGGGGGGAAGGCAAAGTTGATTGAAGCAGGTGTGGGCCACAGGCAACCTAGGGGAAAAAATGTATTTTAAAGATACTAAGTCTCAAAATACATACAGGATAGCTGCTAAACTACTTTCAAACAGGGCAATTCAATCTATTTCACTATGGTAGGAGGCGGCTCATCAATCCCTTCGCTGAACAGATACTTACAGAGTACTACTACCTATCGGCACCAGTCTAGACACTGAGGCAGCCTCTGAAGACAAGGCAGTCAATGTCCCCGTGCTCCTGGGAAACTTTCATCCTAGAGGCATTATGTTTGGAGTCAGACTGAATTTGAATGCTGTCTCCCCGACTACTGGCCATGGGACCTTGTTCCAGTAGCTTCATGTCTCCAAATCTTAGTGTCCTTGCCACCATGACAGGGTAAGCCATCCAAGTGGGTTGTTTAAAAGATTTAAACAGGCAGGATGGTAGACAATATAACTGTTACTATAATTTCAGTCTTGACCGTCAAAAAGTAATAAAAAGATCACTCCTGGATACTTGATATCTGCACCCTCCATGCTGCTGCCCTCAGCAACCCCCCCAACCCCCCCCCATCCTCTCCTCCATGACACTGTGTATCTATCTTCACCCTAGAGGCTACAGATTTCTTAGGCCCTTCCTTCAGTCTTTATGAACAGCACAGCATCACAAAGGTTGTCAGAGAAGTCCGTGAATAAAAATAGGGAATGCACCAGGGAAAAGGAGAACATTTTAAAAGAAGTTTATATTATTAGAAACTAAACTTTGACAGCCCTCTGTACTGAAAGACTTAAAATTGTTATAGTCAGTTTGCATTTACTGAGTGCTTGGTCTATGATAAGCATTGTGCCAAGTGCTTTTACATGCAGTGTTTAAGACTCAAAGCAATCTAAAAAACAGATTTTTGTTATCCTCAATTTACTGATGAGGAAAACTAAACATGGGAATATACGAGTTAAGTAATCTGTTCCAGGTTGTAGAGCCGGTGAAGTCACACACCCGAAAATCAAATTCAGATCAGTCTGACTTTACACCAATATTGTTACCATGTAAAAATTTAACATTCTTATTTAACAAAAACCTAGTGGGTCTATGACAGTGATGTATACATCTTTGACGGTCACTTATATTTAATCTTTGTGAATGTCTTACTGCAAATCCTAGAGTTGTGGAAGATTCATGCCTAAACCATGGGAACTCATAAAATAATCCCTGAAATAATAATAGGAAAAGTTTAGATGTAATGTCACCTTTGTATTAAATTACATAACTCAGATTACCTTTTTTTTTTTTTTTTTTAACTTTGAGAGAGAGAGAGAAAGCGAGCTGGGGAGGGTAGAGAAAGGGGGAGAAAGAATCCCAAGCAGTCAGCACAGAGCCCAATGCAGGGCTTGAACTCATGAAACATGAGATCATGATCTGAGCTGAAATCAAGAGTTGGACGCTTAATTGACTGAGCCACCCAGGCACCCCTCACCTTAATAATTTTTAATAAAAAAAAAACCTTTAAATAAAAATGAACATTACACAATATTCTACTAAAAGCCAGCTAGATTTTAAAAGGGACTACAAAGCAGTTGACTTAGCATTGTAAAAAAGGCAATAGGTTATCAGTCAGCATTGGCAAGTCTCAAAAATTAACAGAGAACTTTAAAGCACACTCTCTCATTTCAGGCTTGTTTTTACTCCCAAGATTTTTCTATGAAAATGACTTCAGACTGAAAGACTCCTCTAAGTCCAAGCATATTATTATTAGCAAAATTTACAGATTAAAAATAAAATTACAATCTGGAAAGTTACCAGTTAGTAGAAGTTTCATTCTTTGAGATTTTAAAGTTCAAGTCAGCCATTCCTCCTACAGGCACTCTGTCACTTCCTGTAGTAAAATGTAGCAACTTCTTTTGAAGATCAAGAGGAAATCCAAGCACAACATCCCAAAAATATCTAAAGAACACCAAAGGAAATTTATATAAAATGTCTTGTCAGAAATCCTGCAGGTCAGAGTAAAGTAACATAAAGTAAGCTCTGAGGATAAAAATTCCCTTAAACATACATAATACTCCTTAATGTGAGATTGACAAATGACAAGCCTCTATGTATGACTTATTTCTAACATTATTATAAAAGTAACATTTTTATAAAATTATAAAAGTAGTCCAACAGGGTATAGTACAAAAGCCATTTCTCTATTATATAACTTACAATTCTTATTTCTTCAGTACAGTGCTATTAAAATTCTACTTATAAGTATAGCATCCCTAAAATTCTAGAACCAAAGTCATTTTTTAAAATTTAAAATCTATCCTTTTATTTATTTTTTAATTTTTTTAAATTTTATTTTTTTAATTTACATCCAAATTAGTTAGCATGTAGTGCAACAATGATTTCAGGAGCACATTCCTTAATGCCCTTTACCCATTTAGCCCATCCCCCCTCCCACAACCCCTCCAGTAACCCTCTGTTTGTTCTCCATATTTAAGAGTCTCTTATATTTTGTCCCCCTTCCTGCTTTTATATTATTTTTGCTTCCATTCCCTTAAGTTCATCTTTTTTATATCTTAAATTCCACATATCAATGAAGTCATATGATGTTTGTCTTTCTCTAATTTCGCTTAGCATAATACCCTCCAGTTTCATCCACATAGTTGCAAATGGCAAGATTTCATTCCTTCTGATTGCCGAGTAATACTCCATTGTGTGTGTGTGCGTGTGCGTGTGCGTGTGCGTGTGTGTATACTACTTCTTCTTTATCCATTCATCCATGAATGGACATTTGGGCTCTTTCCATACTTTGGATACTGTTGATAGTGCTGCTATAAACATTGGTGTGCAGGTGTCCCTTCGGAACAGCATACCTGTATCCCTTGGATAAATACCTGGTAGTGCAATTGCTGGGTTGTAGGGTAGTTCTATTTTTAATTTTTTGAGGAACCTCCATACTGTTTTCCAGAGTGGCTGCACCCACTTGCATTCCCACCCACAATGCAAGAGATCCTCTTTCTCCGCATCCTTGCCAACATCTGTTGCTACCTGAGTTGTTAATGTTAGCCATTCTGACAGGTGTAAGGTGGTATCTCCTTGTAGTTTTGATTTATATTTCGCTGATGATGAGTGAGTGATGTTGAGCATTTTTCATGTGTTGGTTGGCCATCTGGATATCTTCTTTGGAGAAGTGTCTATTCATGTCTTTTGCCCATTTCTTCACTGGATTATTTGTTTTTTGGGTGTTGAGTTTGATAAGTTCTTTATAGATTTTGGATACTAACCCTTTGTCTGATATGTCGTTTGCAAATATCTTCTCCCATTCTGTCAGATGCCTTTTGCTGTTTTGCTGTTTCCTTCGCTGTGCAGAAGCTTTTTATTTTGATGAGGTCCCAATAGTTCATTTTTACTTTGGTTTCCCTTATATCCA